CCCCAAAACCCCAAAACCCCAAAACCCCTCTATGAGCATTTGAAATTTTTGATAAATATCTGGGGTAATGATAATTAGAATTCAATTAAATTTTTGAGATGTTTTTGTCTTTACTGGAGACTCAGTATTTCTCTATGATCTCTACGAATCCTTTATTGAGTTCCTATGCTACATTGCACTTCCGTTGCTGCTACTATTAGATTTTTGCTTCTCGATGTCCAAATAAGTTAAAGGTTTGAATGTGCATTACTTCATTCTCTCTTTCTCTAATTCTTCTTTGAGCTATTCCTTCTTCCTCATTTACTACTCATGAGCTTGATACAAGTTTTCGCAAGCCTTTGTTCCATATTGTCTGTTATTCATGCACATCTAAACTGAATTCTGATTGATCTCAGGCTATAGCAAAATTTTTATTTATTATTATAATATTACTTGATATTTAGACTTAGAGTCGCCTCTCTTGGCATTTCTAGTTTAAATCTTAGGATTGTAAAGTTTTATGAGCTCGCTTCTATCCCCAGGAGGAATTTTAGTATATACCTCATTGCACTTTTGAACAAATTTCTCTTAATTCCAAGGTCTTTAGCCTTCTTCAAAATCTGTAAACACATCCATCATAATATCCATCACCTAAATAGGCAAACTTCTATAGTTAGCAGTTGCTGGATCTACAAACTAGGAGGTTTAAGTCTATTTTGTTCCGCTCGCATATTCTATTTGGGAATTTATTTGCTAAAACATTTGCTCGAAGATCTTTTGTTTTTTCTGTTCAACCATAGTGTCGCTAGAGGAATTTATATCTGGTTTTTCTTTTGAAGGTTCTCTTTCTCTTACTACTTTTTATTCCACAAGTTTAGATCTCTTATTCTCATAGACTTTTGCATACTATATCAATCTTTATTCAACTGTATTCGTAGAAAGTGATTGATTCAGGATGCTTTGGTTGTTGACTATAAAAGATTGTTAGGATATAGATTAATCTTTAGACTGTCTATTAAGATTTGTTGAGGAATTGTGCATAATTTTAGGTGGACTAATAGTTGTCATGTTATGATTTCGAGATGTGTTTTTCTATTAGACTTTGGCTTTCATCTTTTGCTAATCGAACCCATTCTTTACAGAAGCAGTTGTTGAGTGATTGGAATAATTCTATTTGTTATTAGAAGGAGTAAATGGTTAAATAGGTCTTTTAGATTTGCTCATGCTCCTCTAGCTATGAATAACACTAGATGTATTTGGTCTTTCAGTAGATTAGTTAAGCTTTTCCATTGAGAGATTCATAGATATTGGAGTGACATTAGATTGATTTGAAATGGTGGTATTTTATCCTCTGCTCGGACTAGAATCTAGCATATAAGGTCTTGATTTGGATTTACCTCTTTGCTCCTTTCTCTTCTGATGCTAAATATATAAGTTACAATCCTAAATAAAGATTACATCTTGAAATAGTCGCTCGTATACCATGTTTTTAATACTTGTGTTAGTTATTTTCATTTTAATAATTTTAAATTTAATGGAAAAAACAACAATATATATTGGTAGGTACACTCACTTAAATCTTATTCAACGAACTATAGGGAATCTGCCTTCTTAAGTGGATGAGGACAACTTGAAAGCAGCATTCATTCCATTTGGAGAAATCAAATCTATAGATATATCAATAGACCCCTCAACTGGTACATATATTGCTATGTTTATTTTATTTACAGAATAAACGAGAGGATTCGCTCATTTAGAATATGAGGATGCTGATGACTGTGAGCATGCAATTTTTAATATGGATGAGTCAGAATTTTTTGGAAAGGTAATTAAGGTACAATACACTAAGCCCTAGAAAGCCAAAGCAGGTGGAACTAAATCTGTTTGGCAAAGTGAAGAATACCTTAGAACTGTGGCTCAACCACCTCCTGAAAGAGCAGGTTTAGTCAGAGTAAATTTACAACTTTACCTTCTTTTAGATGAATTGAATCAAGAGCTCTGGATTGAAAAGTAATTAATTAAACTTTCATGCTTAACTTTAAATTTTGCATGTCATGGGGTTTTGGGGTTTTGGGGTTTTGGGG